GAATATAATACCTCAAAATGGGGTATATATTCCAGAATGTACAAACAAAAAATTAACACAATTCATCTACATATATACACAACCAAAGTCAACAAAACCCATAAACTATGCCCAATAGCCAACAAGACCCACAAAACCATCCGAAGCAACCAAAGAAAAGGGTTAAACAATTAATCAATCTGAATCCTTATGAGTTTGTTGCATTAATCAATCACTCAAATTTATCAAACCATTAGACATCTCTTTTTCACAATACCATGATATATGTTATATAACAACTCTAGAAAAATCTTGAGAGAAAAGTAAATACCTGTTGTTTTAAGGTGGAGCTGAATAACATTCATCTCTCGAATCTCAGAGCAGAGACCACCCATAGCATCAACAAAAGAACTTGGACTAGGGATCTCAGACTCAACCCCAATCGAAGCCTTAGGGCTCCTTCTCATCTGGATATCAGATACAGAACGATGTTTTTTACCCCCATTTCTCTTCGCGATGTCCATCAAAATTAACAAATCACTATCCGAAAGACTATCGTTCAAGATGTGCGAACTCCACTTAGGTGTAGTAGTTTCTTTAATCACTAGTTCATCACCCATCGTATCTAAGTCGTGTAACAGCCCGCAAACAGAGCTAGCAGCAGCAAGGCAGAGACACACACTCACACACAGCACCTGGGCAGCTATTCCTAGAAGCTAAACTAAAGCATACACATCACAATCCTGTAGAATTTATAGACAGTAACAACAGGCAGACACAACACCTAGACAGTAGCAGCTCCATTCTTTATAAAGAAATAGAGCATCACAGCCATCTACAATACTTGTGTTTACTCTTTGCTGCTGGAAATAGTGTAGTTATTTAAATAAAAAATAAGATAAAAACGATAATGACTAGTGTTGTTTACTCCATCTAATGGAATTATAATTTCACCCATGTACTAATTTAAAGTAAAAATTAATTAATGCCTAAGATAAAAACTTTCTTATAGATGGCATTTCATCTTTAAAAACAAATAAGGATTAGAGACCCCCTTGGCTTTTACTTTTGGTTACATCCTTTAAACTCCTAACCCTTAAAATCCACTCAACAGATTCTCTCCTTGGCATCATTAACTTTTGGTTACAACCACAATGCATGCTTATTTGCAAGTCATCCGTTTTATACACATGAATAATAACCTAAATAAGTTTCGCATTGTTGCAACCAAAAAAAAAAAGAAAAAAGAAAAAGTGCAGAACATGGTTCTGCAGCAAATCTAATCACCTAACTAATATTCCAAGCAACCAAAAACAGATGGTCAAAATCTAAGAATTTAATTAGAGGAAAAAAATGCAAATTAATATGAGCAATATTGAATTGAGGACCCGAAATTCCCTATTGATGGGTGATGCAAAAAAACTGTTGAAAATATATCCTATAAATAATGTCGGTTGAGTGAAACACATTCTGTTCTATAATCAATGTTTTAAAAACCAGAATAGAGTTTAAAGCCTTTCAATAAGTGGAGATGGCAGTAGACTTGAAGAATTATTTACTTGTCAAAAAATACAAAATAAAAAACAAAGTGAAGCAAATTAGCATTTCCTTAAATTGATCTTGTGGCACCAACAGGGCTATGAACAGTGCACTAGATCAAGGTCATCATAATTTATCTTCAAATTATTTCTCATCCTTTTTGCTAATTATGTTTGTTAATAGGCATTTTGATATCAGCATGATGCCACAAGTCAACCCAGTTACTTGGGTGGTTGGACAGCTAAAGGGTTGGTAGACAGTTTGGGTTGAATGCATTGGCAAGTAAGCAACATTTTATTACACAGCAATAGCATTGACTTCAAGCAAATACAAACATAAATTATTGTAACCACATCATGTTTGCCTATATAAATGCCATTTGAACAATTTTGTAAAACAATTAAAACTCAAATGAGACATGACCAAATAATTGAGAAAAGTCAAAGTTTGAAAACTGCATGTACCAACTTAAACTTTACACTTTTAAGATACACACGAGTAAAGATTGTAAAGTTTGTACTTATCAAAAAAAAAGATTGTAAAGTTTGTTTATTTTCCCTTTTCAATGTTCTATATGCTATCAAATTTCAACCTATAAAATATAAAGTTCTATTAAACTTGAAATTTCAGCCAAAAAAATCTTGTTTAAAAATTTATCAACCTTAATTTAAAATCTGAAGAGTTGATATTGTATAATTCTTATCACGGGTACAAAAGGCAACTAATTTCTTATAAACCAATGAAGCAAACAACTTACAACTAAATGAAACTATTGTAAGCCAGTGAAGCAGTCAACTTACAACTAAATGAAAATATGTTATGTGCAATAACTTTTTATTCAGCAAAGGTTAGAACAGCAATTTATGAATTAAAATATTATAACTACGTGACAGTTTGAAGGTTACCTGAGTTGCATCCCATAAGATAATTTTTGGAGTCACGGGAAGCTCTCTCTTATTCTTCCATGGAAGAGGGGAACCATCATTAGCGGTCTCCCACTGCAACCAAGGCAGAATAACACCATCCATTTCAACAGGAAGAGAATTAGATCCGGATGTATTATAAATTGTTTCTGTTTCCCTAGAATATGACACTGCGTCTCTAGCCTTTGTTACTCCTAAAGTTGAACTTGCATCACTCCTTTCTCCATCAAATGAAGAAATATCTGTATCTTCAACATTTGAAATGAAGTCCTCAAAATATTTCTCTGCTTCTTCAGTCAATCGTTTAGACACCCTCTTTCTATCATTACTCCTCTGGCAAATTGTAGACGCATTGAAGTTAATAGAACACTTTATCATCACTACTCTCAACAAGGACTAAAGAAAGATCCTGTAGTTTACACATGGAGATTGAGAACCATACCTTTCAGGCCCGGGATGGTTTATCCACAATTGTAGAGCTCTTTGGATTAGGAAGCAATTCTGTCACAATTTTAGACAGTTCCCTACCACATTGCTCCTCTGAAACTATCTCAGCTAAGAGATCTTGTTTATGCCTTTCTCACTGGAAAATTTGTGGAAACTCAACATTTCACTACTTCAAGTACTTAAAAAGCACAGAATAACAACAACATATCTTTCAAAGTTTGCTCATCTGTCAATTGCTTCAATATTCTGGAAACTCACATAAAACTGTCAATAACAAACTATCCCTCATTCAACTTAGTTTCACAAGATGGTGCTTAAAGGGTGATCTAAAATTTATTATGTTATGTGTTATCATCATTTCATGAAAAGCAATGTCAGCAATGTATTATGTTTAAGGTCATTTGTCAAAAACATATCTCTAACACAATACTATAAATAGCCATTTAAGCAAAACAAAACAATTGTGATCATGTATCAAAATTTTACAATTGGAAAAACTAATTTATTTTTCCATCATCCAATAAAAAGAGAGTTTTTATCTCTTCAAGTGTCCTCGACTTATAGTCAAATGAGCAATTTTAGGGCATTAGCTTTTTCAGACACCATTAATTTAAAAAGCTAGTGCTCAAATCAGTGGCATGGCATAATGATAATACCTATAATAATGGATAGAACATTGACATAGCAATAATATAGTAGTAGTAGTATTATAAAATAATTAAATAAAAAGAACATAATATAATGTGATGTTACTATATTGAATATATTAATTAACTAACAGCTATTATAAAGAAATAAATAGACTTTGTTATGCATGATGATGATGGTGTTTCCCCTAAACCCAAGACATTTTTCTTTCTTTCTTTTTTTTTTTTGTGGGGGGGGGGGAATTTAGTCACATGGCATAGTAAGAAACAAACAGTGTTGTCTAGATCTAGTGAAGAGGCGGAATACAGGGCTATAGCGCATGGTATATGTGAACTGATGTGGCTCCAGTCCTTGTTGAATGATATTGGGTTTGTTTGTAGTAAACCATTGACATTGTATTGTGACAACAAAGTGGCCATTAGTATTACTCACAATCCTGTTCAACATGATAGAACAAAGCATATTGAGATCGATAGACATTTCATCAAGGAGAAGTTGAATAAGGGTTTAATATGTATGCCTTTTGTAAAGTCTGAAGATCAATTGGCTGATGTCTTTACTAAGGGTCTTAGTAGTAAGGTTTTTCGAAGGAAGCTATCGATAATCCTAAGTGGAAATTAACTATGGTAGAAGAGATGCAAGCTATAAGCAAGAATGAAACTTGGGAGTTGGTTCCTCTTCCTAGGGAAAAAAAACCTGTATGGTGTAAGTGGGTGTTCACAATTAAGTAGAAAGCAGATGAAACAATTGAACGGTACAAAGCATGACCAGTGGCCAAAGGGTTTATTCAGACTTATGGAATTGATTATCAAGAAACCTTTGCTCCTGTAGCAAAGATGAATTCCATTCAAGCTATTCTTTCATGTATAGCTAATTTGGGATGGCCTTTACAGGAGTTAGATGTGAAGAATGCATTTCTCCATGGTAATTTGGAGGAGGAGGTGTATATGGATGTACCACCAGGATTCTTATCTCAGTCTACAGTTGGGAAAGTTTGTAGGTTGAAAAAGGGGTTATATGGGTTGAAACAGTCTCCTCAAGCTTGGTTTGACAGATTCTGGAAGGCTATGTTGAGATTCGTGTATAAGCAAAGTAATGCAGATCACACAATGTTCGTCAAACGCCATGCAGATAAGGTGTGCTTGTAGTATATGTGGATGACATAGTTGTGACAGGTAATAATGAGAAAGAAGTGACACATCTTAAGATGTTGGCCAAGGAATTTGAGATCAAAGACCTTAGTCTGTTGAGGTACTTTCTTGGGATTGAAGTTGCCAGATCTGACAAAGGCATCTTCATTTCTTAGTGAAAGTATATCCTGGATCTTCTCGAGGAAACTGGCATGTTAGGTTGCCGACCTGTTGATTTGCCAATTGAGGCTAATCACCATCTTTGTAGTGGTGTTGGTGATCTTGTGGAGAAGGAACGGTACCAACGACTTGTGAGAAGGCTTATATATTTATTTCACACTCGTCCAGATATTGCCTATGCAGTTGGGATAGTGAGTCAATGTGATAACCGAGTACGTAAACCACTTCGTCCTCTTTGAGTTATGTTGGGCTAACTCTTGTTAGAGTGTCGGGTTTTGATGTGAAGTTGTGTTAATTGTTTGGACTCATTTTTGAAAACTTTTCTCAAAATTCTTGTTCTTATTTATTTCGATGTCTAGTTCACTTGGATCGGGAGGTGTAAGGTTGGATCCGGGGTGTCACAAGTTGGGATAGTGAGTCAATGTGATAACCGAGTACGTAAACCACTTCGTCCTCTTTGAGTTATGTTGGGCTAACTCTTGTTAGAGTGTCGGGTTTTGATGTGAAGTTGTGTTAATTGTTTGGACTCATTTTTGAAAACTTTTCTCAAAATTCTTGTTCTTATTTATTTCGATGTCTAGTTCACTTGGATCGGGAGGTGTAAGGTTGGATCCGGGGTGTCACAAGTTG